GTTGTTTTAAACCCTCCTCTTTCTCCACTCCTGCTTTTAAGTAAACATTTCAATCTTAGCCAAATGTGCTTTAATAAGTTAATTCTCACATCACAATGCGGAGACACGATGGAGAAGTTAATGAAGAATTTAGCTAAGGATGACAATAAAACGGGACTAACTACAATAGTCATTACTATTTTTGGTGTCTGTAGTGACAGACATTTTGAGTTGAGAATCACAATCAAACTTACAAAAAATTGTGAAAAAATTAAGGCATTCGATATATTATTGCAATTGTTCTCTACGCGTTCTCATACGTTGATAATGTTCCATAATTACATCATTTTCAATTTTTTCAAATACATTCTTCTTAATATATGTAATCAAACTATCATTCAACTACTGATTTTTGCAAACCTAAATCTGCTTCGGTAGAATGGGTTTTGTAAAATGGTTATAATATGATTGTTTAATTGTTCCATCATGTTTCTTTCTCCTTTTTTACATTGTTATTTCTATTATACGCCATTTTAGATGTTAGGTGTTAATATGCTAAAGTTCCTCCCCGAGTAGCAGTATATATTTGAATTATATAAGTTAATGAAGAATTTCGCTAAGGATGGCAATAAAGTGGGACTGATTATGACAATTATTACTATTTTTTGATGTTTGTGGTGATGAATGTAGACATTTTGAGTTGGAGAACACAATTAAATTTGCAAAAAATTGTAAAAAAATTAAGGTATTCGATATCTTATTACGATTGTGCTCTACACTTTCTCATGCGTTGATAACGTTTCATAGTTATATTGTTTTCAATATTGTCAAATATATCATTCTTAATATATACAATCAAACTATCATTCAACCACTGATTTTTGCAAACCTAAATCTAATTTTTGGATTTTGCAAATCTAAATCTGCTTCGTAGAATGGGTTTTGCAAAATGGTTATGATATGATTGTTTATGGTCTGTTCTATTTTCTATTTTCAAGTCATTTTCAGTTTTTAGTTTTCGAAAACATTGAAAACAAGTTTACTTACCTATTTTCATAAACGAAATTCCAAAAAACGAGTTCAAATTTTACAAAGAAAGCAGAAAACGCAAAAAAAATCGTTTTGGCTGTTTTCAGTTAAAATCAAGCCAAAACTTCATTTTTTTATTTTTGAAAATATTTTTTTCAAAATAACAAAAATAACGTGTTTTCAACAATCTCAAAATGTACACTCAAAACACAAAATCTAAAATGAATTCAAAACTGAAAAATTAAAAACTAAAACACGAAGAAAACAACCCCTTAATTGTTCTATCATGTTTCTGTCTCTGTCTCTCTCTCTCTCTCTTTACATTTTTTTTTCTGCTATACGCCCTCCTAGACGTTAGGTGTTAATTTCCTAAAGTTACTTCCCGAGTAGCCGTATATATTTGATAAATATTAAAATATATATATTAAAAAGAAAATTTTATAATGCGCAAGTAGAATTGCTAATTTGTTAAATGAATATTATCGTTCAAATCATCTATAAATAAATAAAATCGTATAAAAATGAAAATTTTATTATGATTCATTGTATGTAGAGAAGTGAGAACAAGAATAATTATCTCGTGTTTCTCTGTGTTAAGATCTCAAGTCTATCCCCAATATAAAAATGTAAATTTGGCTAATTAATTTCTTCATGTAATTCCATTCCACACAACGTGACCTACTAGGACCCCCTGTGGGTCCGGCAGTGATGCGTGGCAGAGCACGGATTTAAAAATCCCTATTTATTTATTTAATATTTTTTTAA